TATTGAGAATACCATGGACTGCTAGGAAAACAAACAGATTTGTCCTGGAAAGGGTTAAACCGGGTGGCTCCTTGGAGGCAAGGATTTCTGAGGCTCCATCTAATATACTTTGGACATCTTGTGAGGAGAGACAGGTCCTTGGAGAAGGACATCATGCTTGGGAGGGTGGAGGGACAGCGCAGGAGGGGAAAGCCCTCTATGAGGTGGACTGATTCAGTGCCTGGGATAATCGGGATGGGAGTGTCGGAGACAGTACAATTGGCACAGGACAGAGCAGAGTTTAGGACTGTTGTATATAGGGTCGCTATGAGTTGCAAGCAACTCGACGGCACATAACAACACCACAACAATGAAGACAAACTGGTGATATATGTCTGAAAAAAATCAGCTAATGGATAGCAAAGAACATTATCTGATACAGAGCTGGAAGATGAGTGTCTTAAATAGGCAGGTAATAAAAACACAACTGGAAAAAAGTCGCCACCTCAAAGTAGAGTCTGTATTGTACCAAAGGCATTTGGCTGTGTGGCTCATAACAAATTATGGATAACATTGGGAAGAAAGAGAATTCCAGAAAACTTGATTATGCTCATGAGAAACATGTACAGAGACCAAGGGGCAATCATTTGAACAAAACAAAGAGATACTGTATGGTTTAAAATCAGGAAAGGTGTATTTAAGGATTGTAACCTTTCATCATTCCTACTTAATCTGTATGTTGAGAAAATAATCTGAGAAGCTGAACTACAGGACAAAGAAAGTGACATCAGATTGGAAGAAAACTCATCTGCAATATGCAGATAGCATAATCTTGCTTACTCAAAGTGAAGAGAACTTGAAATGCCAATGAAAAACAAAGAATGAAGACTACAGCCTTCTGTATGGATTATATCTCTATATGAAGTAAACAAACATCCTCACCATTATGGTAAAAAGGTGTGTCCTCTGGGCATTTAATGAGTGACTTTGTAGGTCTAATTTGATAAATTAATTCATAACATGCCAATGTCCTTAAGGCTTGAGTGACTTTTTCTACAGTATACGAGTATTTCAATTTGTCTTAGTGTTAACCATCACTCAATCCATGCTTAGGTTTTTTTCCTAACCTCCTGAGTTGACACATTGGAAAAGAATCTGGGGCTAGTTGGCCCAGATCAAGCTGATCCTAGGTTACATTCCTTGTTCCATTATCATATTTCCTTAATAGCCATTCTCACCCATATTCTCAAATGTGTACTCTACATATTAGTAAAACCAAGCTGCTCTTTTGGAGTCTACCATACTTCTACCTCAGTTACACTTTGTACTTCACCTCTTGGGGCTTTCTGAGAAATAAGTATAACTAATTATAGCTCTAGAAGCAAAAGTGAAAGGAGTGGATCATGCACAAGTGCCACCTCAGAAGACAGTTCAAACAAATACTCTGCTTTGGATATTGTGGTGTATTGTTAAGTGCTGTGAGGGAATCACAAGTCACAGCAACCCTGTGAACAACAAATTGGAACCTTTCCTTGTCCTGCACCATAAATGGGATCTCTGACACGGTCAAGGCCATTTCCACATTACCCCCTGCTTTCTAGATGAACTGAGTTAATCTCATCAAATGGGGGTGCAAAGGATAATGGTTTTCTGGGGAGCGTGCTTCAGAGTTGGAAGAGACTTATAGCTGGCCTTTCACTGGGACTGTATATCACATGGAAGATTGTTTATCTTTCTTCACTCCAGTGAAGTCACTGGTAGATTTAAACTGCTAGTCTTTGAGGTAATAACACAGCTCCCTACAGATTACATAACCAGAACTCCCTTAGGCAAAGATGGTTTTATCTCTTCAGAAAAGGAAATTCTTCAATAAGAGTGTTGGTTCTGTCAGCATCAGTAATTTTATGGGTTCAATTTTCCCAGACTTTTGGATTTCTATTCTTCCTTATGACCTCATCCCAAGTTTTGGGATTTCATTTCTTCAATATCAATACCATCACTTTAAATTTAGAGCCTCGCTATTTAATTGATGCTTTAATTTAGTCATTGTAAGGATAAAACTCTGGGTTTGGTTGGGGGCATTTTAAGAGTCACTTTTAAAAGGAAACTTTTACATCTTGCATGGAAAGGTCTAAGCTCTGAACTTGTCCCATCCTCTCACCACTGTGTTTAGCAAAAGTAGGTCCAAGCAATTAGTTTCCTCATACTTTTCATTCTGACAAAATTGTAAAAAAGAACCAATTACATTATCGTTAGAGCTGATTTTCTCACAAATATATGATTCACTGGTGGTGATATTCTGCATGTTCAGACTGGTACCTCGAGATATGGATCAACAGTGTCTTCTTTACTGCTGGAGGCAAAATCATCAGCATCTTTCAGACTTGCCAGACTTGAGAATCAATTCAGAAAACTCATCTTTATCATCAATTTTGTTCCTCTGGGACAACTGTCAGTACCAAATGCCTTAGATTTGGTTTTCAAGAGGGAAAAAACTAAATGGTTCTGCAACACAGTGGTGGAGGATAAACAGAAGGGAAATGCACGGGAAGAGAAGAGAAAAACTCAGGGGTCACAAGTTCTTGTCATCCTTTAGTGCCAAAGTGGTATGATGTAGAAGAAACGGGCAAAGAGGAGGATGGGGAAACTCTCAACTATTATCCTGTATTGCTTCTTCTTCAAGATCTCCTGAAGCCCAGAACTACCAAAGCATGGCCCAATCTGCACTTCAGCCTCCCTCTTCACTCCCTGTCATGCTCCACTTTCCTCTTTCTGTAAAGTCCCACTCTCA